ACCCACCTCACCTTTTTTCTACCTTTGTGTCTGTCTCTTTAGCATCTTTGAAACACTCTTCTGTTCAATCCCCCTCTCGACTTTTTCCTCTTTGATGTTCCTTCTCCTCTGTGAAGCNCTCATCAAGGTTTTGTATTGTAAATGAATGTTCCAAATATTAGTTTCTTTATTACAATGGATAATTGGAGTTCAAATCAATTTGTAGTGGCAGCCTTACTTCTATAACAGGATCAAATGAGTCGAAAATTTAAAAACAAATTCTTCTGAAACTCATTCGACTCAATGATTCGTTGTGATTCATTTGTGGAGTGCACAATTCAGCTATTCTTCGCATAGAGAGCAAGTACGGTCTTAATCGTAGAGACTACCTATCCAGACGCCAATCAATGGCCCCTACATAGTAAAAGCAATCAAGTCAGTAACACATAATAAATAAATGTTGTAGCGGACAGCTACACCAATAAGCCTGGACTTTACTCAGTAATCTCTACTATCGATGAACTTCCCAAACTAGCTAGGCTATTGCAAAGCTATGGAGGAAAGAGGCGAGCGAGGAGGAATACGTTTATTTAAGACGTAGCACGTCAGTACTGTGTAAAGGAAGGAACTTAGTCATTATCAACATGGCGGATCCGGTAAAGCAAATGGGCGTCTCTGATTGGTTAATGTCGGTCAGTTCACCGCACCTGGTCCGTACGCGAGTTTGCACGTGATGTTGGCTAGGCGATGATGTGTCCCACAATGTATTCCACGACCTATGTCTATTTCCTCTATTGCTTTTTGGTAATTTGGAGAGTCCTGGGAGCCTTTTCAACCAAGGAGAACTTGCTTGAGGGAAGACTGTGCATAAGTCAAGGCTTATTAGAATAGTAACCCGCCACACCTTTAACGGCAAATGGATTTCAGTGTTACTAATTTTGTTGATTGGCATGAAATAAGAAAACTTTGAAAGTTAACTTTATTCTGTATTCATATAATACAGAATTCCAGATAAACGGTGAGTAATTTGAGCAAAGCATTAAAAACTCAAATTGTTAGTTATTTCCATGATTTATTCACATTGTTTTGATACGTGAAATTGAAGGATGATGTCCTTTAGACAGAGTTCATGCTATAATCAGTTATAATTGAACGCAACTAATCAAATTAGGCTTTGTTAGGGTAGTAAACAACTACAACCTTTCATATCCGCAGTGTTTTAGTCATTTGCTTCGTAAGCATCGGTGGCGGTAGATATCGGATAGAGAAACCTGAAAAACGCAAGAATATCAATTAGAGCTAGAGATTACCATATTGATCGATTAAACGGGGAATTTGGTGCCTATTATCACTAAGCATTAATATCAGAGAAATTTTTGGAATAAATATACGTTTTGAAGTAGGGGTTAGCAGTTGTCTCCTTATTAGATCATTAACAATGATATTGACCAAAAATTTGAAGATATATATGGTTAACATACTACAAAGAGACTATGTTAAGAAATTTCGAGCAACGAATTGAAAAAGATGTGATTTATTGCAAGAGTTATAAAACTTTGTAATTGCTTGTAGGATTGGGAAACATTTCTAACAGCTTACTTTTGAAGGTGGCTCGTTGGTATTATGATCGGATTTAAATACTGCCATTAAGAGATTTAAGTTTGTACTTTTTCTGCTTCAATTCCATGATAACATCGACGAATGAACACCCCTCTGGTGAAGTATTTGTTTGAGGTCTATGAGTCTGAAATTAAAGACAAAGGATGAAAGAAAAAAATACTCAAATAAATTTTTCTTAAAAAGTGAATCTCACCTTTTGATCATTCTTTGTGGAGACGGGAAGCCTAGATGACGGTAATGATAAAGACGAAGAGGTTGGTGGGGAAGGTCGAGGTGGTAAGGGGGGGGGTTTATGCTGCCTCTACTCGATGGTAGAGTCATTGTCTTGGTCACATACCTATTTGCTAATTCTAGGTTGAGGCATTCATACGTCACTTTCAGCATGGTATTGTACACCTCAAACATTTTTGTGAAATTGTCTTCACTTATTTTTCTCCCAATGAATCGATAATATTCGAAATGCTGATTCTGAAAAAAAACCAAATTATTCTTGGTTTTAATTTTTAGTTATTCTGTACGACATTAGTCACTAAAGCCTATCGGTCTCGTTTTTTTCATCATCGTTTCTTCAATTCTGCTAATTATTTTATTAAGTGGATCGAGTTCTGGTTTCAAGCGAGATTTATCGATATCCCAAAACACTGGAGACATATTCAATATAATTCGAACTTAAAGAATTTGAAATTTATTACTAAAATCAATGCTAAGATGATATATTTATAATCAAACTATTAATCACAGTATAATATCTCCAAGAGTTACAGGTAGTTAATTAGCAATCATTTGATTGCTGAGTGAGTATATATATATATTTACCATATGGCTCGTTTCAACATAAAGGTCATAAAATCGTTTAAATTTATTAACGGTTCAAAAACTCACTACTCCTTTCAGTTCCCTCAAAGTCTTTTCGATACTTCTCCGCCCACTAAGTCGATCGAATCCCCATTTGATGAGAGATAAAGTGATATAAGTAAGTGCAAGAGAAATGTTCACCATATTCATAATCTATACCAAAAAGCAGAAGATTTAGGCGCATGGTAAGACTGGGTATACAAAATAGAAGTTTCGGAATGATATGAAGAAATTATTTCATAAAAGATGTACAGAAGAAAATTAATTGTGTAAATAAGATTATTTAGATTAATCTACTTGTCAAAGATCCATTATTTAGAATAATTGAACGCAATTGAAAGTAATTAGAAATATTTATTACCACAATAAAACCAGCAAAGGTGGGAGAGATTATATACGCCATCGAGAGAAATCGTACGAAATATACACGTGCCTTTAAATATGCAATCAATACTGTTTTCTCTAACAATTTTTAAAACACCATAGACTTTACCACATAAATAATAACATATTCGTTTCAACTTCAAGCATAAACGTGAAAATAACACCCCAAATCGAAGTTGAAGAGTTTTCACGAAAGATACAAGCTTATATTAATATGAAAAACTAAGTTGACATAACTTCACATTTTCTGAATGTATGGTAAGGTAACAGTGACTGAGCGATCGTTTTTAAATAAAATATGAATTACATATAAACAGGGAAATTTTAATGGACAAAGGTAAACACTTACAATACAAATTGAAAGCACCCCCAAATTAATAACGGTTTCATTGATACTATAGCTTACGAAATCGAATTTTATTATTTCTCCGTCCAAATAAATGAACAGTTGAAGCAGTATTATAAAACACATGTTTATTACACGATCAAATACTAAGAGAAGGTTGTTATTGAAATCTTTCCGAGCTTAAAAACCTGCAATGTGTCTCAAGATCACAGGGCAAAATAACTGTAGCTTTCAATTCTTTATTCTGTCATAATTATACCGAAACTGTTTATATACATTGCAGATATCCTTGTTACAAATAGTGAAATATCGAAAACTTTTAGTAACTATATATTGACTTATTATAATTTAAAGTCGTTTGAGGCATTACTTTGATAGTTTGTGGTATTCATTTTTTATAAAATAAATGCGTTCTATTTTTAAGGTCATCTAGGCGTAAGCGACGCGCCTAAATGGTAGATTGTAATTTCACCTCTAGGGTTAGAGCTCTTCTCGTATTAACTGGTTTACCAGGCTCTGGAAAATCATATGCCGCAAATGAACTTGTGAAAAATGCCAGAAATCACAAATTTTTGTCAATTCATTTTGACGAAAATATAGTGTTTGAGAAGAGCGACGATTATGCTGTAAGTTTCAGTGCTACTAACCACTTAACAGTGGAAAAGTGAAAGATCAGGGTTATGTTCGTGCATCGAGTCTTTCATCAATCATTATAATCAAGGGGATTATTCATATCTTCCGAATAAGCTTCATGTAATCTCTTGTGAAGATTCAAGCATTGAAAATAAGCCCGTGATTGTAATACTTGATGACAATTTCTACTACAGAAGCATGCGAAAGCAGTATTATCAGCTTTCTAAGATATGTAAGCCTTAATATACATGCATTATTTGTGGCTTTAGTAAAGATTGCTTATATGTCAGTTAGCCTTCGAACATCACTGGAAATATGCATAAAGCGAAATGCAGAAAGATCTTCTTCTGTCCCTGAAAGCACTATCCATCGAATGAATTCCCGTTTCCAGTGGCCAAATGCTGCCATTTATCCATGGGAACGCCATAACCTTGAATTGAGCAGTCCAATGTCTGATTCCATCGTCGAAGAAATCGAAGGATTTGTGCAATCCGTTCTAGAACAACCCCTCGTATTTATAGACTGGGAGAAACTTGAAGCGGAAAAAAGCATGTCTCGCGAAGCTAACAAGATGAATCCAATTCACTTTATTGATGATGTTTTGCGGTCCCTTGTTAATGCTTGCGTTAATTCCTTGAGTAGGTCTTCTAGTGTTGCCCGTAATCTCTGAATTACTAGGTCCTGAATTGAGGCAAAAATATGGCAAGGAATTTAGTAAAGTGAAGGCAATGACATTGAATCGGTTGAGATCGTCCTCTAGTGAAAAGTTTGCTTCTTTAACTCCTGAAGACTTTAGGGCATGGATTCAATCAGTTTTTGGAGAAAATCTTAGGCAAATCATCCCTATAAATTTCGATGTATTTTGAAAATTTACACTTCTAATATATGTGACGCTGTCTTTTGCTGCTTGAACCTGTGTGTTTCCATTTTATTCTAGTTATTTTAAAATTATTCGTTTTGGTTCTACCACTATTTTATATTAAGACTGTCTTTTACAGTATAGTGTATGCTGATTTGTAAGTTTATTTAGGCTTAATATGTTAACTGATATTAATTGTGGGAAAAATCAGTGAAATTATGTGGGAAATATCTTCAAGACAATCGGGTTTCATTGACTCAAGCTTATTTAAATACCAGTGAGACATGTTATGCGTTGTCAGGTGCGTTAATTTTACTGTATTTAGGAAGTATTTTTAATGGACAGAGAAGATTGCTCTAATCGTTGGCAATTTTAGTTGGATACAGTTGATTGATCAACTGTCCTGGTAATTTGGCTTTTCAACCATCCTTTATTTGAGGACAAGAGACAATATTCATGTCCATTGTTGACCAATGCTTATATATTTGTTGATGCTTGCAAATAGTTATAGATGCGATTGTACCTCTGCACTTACTTGGTAAGTCCCAACCCAAAAAAGGAATGAAGGCACATGCAAATCTGTAAGAAAATGGATATTCGCAAGCCATATCAATTTGATGGTTATGGGCTTTCTTACGGAAAGTCTAAAAATTAATTTAAAATCTCATGATTCAGCTACAGTATAACCAAAAGTTAACATTTACCAATCAATTTGTGGGTTTAAGTATTCTGCTTCGTAAACGTAAGTTGTACTTCCACATGCTGAGCCAATTCTCAGAATCCTTTTTTCTAGTTGAGGATTTTTTGGTCTTTTATGAAGGAAATCAGATCGCGAAATCAACCAAATCCTCTGTGTACCTGAATTCACTTTGTTCATCATGATCCGGTTTCTACTCTTCCGACTTGCAGGTCAATTTCATACTCCTTAATTCAACTCAACTCTCGTTTTATGATTTTGGAAGTGGTCTTTGATTCCTGTTAAGATGTACAAAGTTTGATCATATTGGCATTCGGTGGAACTTCCATTGTTCTCGGCTTCGGTCTATGTTAACCAGACCCCAGAATATGTATTTAGATAGCTGAACTCAAAATATCTTCACAAAAAACATCAAAGTTCTCAAATTTCAAACTTATAATGCTAAAGTCAACCTACGTTTGTTTACATTTCGGAAAAACTTAAGTTCCTGATTTCAACGGAAAGTAACACTGATTCAATAATAATATTGGTTTATTTTAGTAATTTTAAATTTATCGGCTACCCCTTCAAGTTACCATACGAAACTATTTTAGAAATAGGAAATAAATTGGTGGGTTACTCCTCCTATAAATTGGCCGGTGATGGGCTTAAAACAGCCATGCATATGATTTATTGGCAAACCATAGGAAGTAATTTTACCATACTTCAATATTTTGCCCAACCCAGTTGATAAAATATAAGAATATCGCAATTATCTAAGTAGTAATTCAAGAACGCTAAATAGCATTATGGCATTTCACTACAAAATAATTTCACAAGTTCAAATATTGGCAGTGGTTAAAATATAAAAGTTTTTACTGTAATGGCTTCTACTTATTCAATGTGAAAGTGTTCAAGCTTTTTAATCAACTCCCATATCTGCTGGTATTTAGGAAAAAATTTTAAAAATGTTCTTTATCAAATATATACTTGGCCAGCTGTATGCGCATAAAAGTTTGGTTTAGAATTATAAATAGTATATAAAAGCGTCTACAACCTGAAAAATACGCATCGCATTTTCCCTTCAGCATTATATGACTATATACGGACTTGCGAATAAGAGATAAAATACAAATTATTAGTTTAATAGAAAGTATTACTCAAATGGATTCAGTTAATTATTATTTTAAATTGATTTACCTCATTCAATAATATTTTAATAAATTCAGTATGCAATCGTTCTTGTCAATTGAATGTATTTGTTTTACTACACAAGTATATTTTCAAAGCGTATATTGCACTATTGTATAGAACCTGTATTTCTGACCTTGAAATATATAAGTTCTTGGGATTTTGAAGGGAAATGAGTGATTCGTTAAGTCAAGCTCAAGGAGCCGATGGTCCCCAAAGGAGCACTACCAATCCCAGTTCTAAAAAGCGACCGAAAATCACCTTTATTGATCCCTCTGAATGGGCTAATCTGCAGACGACATCTATCGGCCCCACAAAAAACGAAATCAATCAAACATTACAGCAACGTTTAGTTGATAGACAGTCCCGTGTGAACAGAATAGAAGGTACTTTATTATATTTTTGCACGTTTTTCACTTAAAATTTTCTTTTATCAAATGTATCTTTGCAACTTTAGAGTCTGAGCCCGTGGGTCGCAGGCCGAGAAAGAAAATAAAACATCAGAGATCAAGGCGTGGCAGACCAAGAAAGCGTCCTATCGATCCTAGACGGCCTTGGATTGAGAGTGATGATGAGGAAGATGATTATATTCCTCCAGGAGAAGACGACTCTGATGATGAAGCTTTTCTTGAACGACTTGCAGCAGAAAAAGAAAGAGAAGAAGCCGAAGAAAGGAGAAGGAAACAAGAAGTAAGTTTTGCTACCCAATTCGCTATTTAGCTCCTTCTTTTTTAGATGCAACGTCTTCGCCAGCAGAAACGAGAGGAGCGTAGATATAGAGCCACTGGTAGGCCAGGTCGCCCTCGAACTCAAGTTGTCGTTGCACGTCTCTACGCTAATTCTAATGAGGACGGTCAGGTAGGCATTAATTTTTGCTTATTTTCATCCCCTTACATAGTCATCAAAAGCCAGTGAGGCGAGTGACATTGAAGTCGCAGCTTTAGATGATGTTATTGAAGAAGACCACGTTGAAGATATTTTCGATTTACCTCCACCGCCTTGTGCTGAAGATGTTATTATGATGGAGGAGGGCGCAGATTTAAATTTAGAACCAGCTCCAGGTTCCGATTTCCCTCGCATGAGTTCTATTGTTTCCCGTCGTAAAGCTCCACCACTTATTCTTCCTCCTTCAAGTCGGGATATTATCTGTCCTCAACAATACCTTGTTGATGCCGTTTCAATTTACGAGCATCTTCGTAGATTTGGCCGTCTATTGAAGCTTTCCCCGTTCCGCTTGGATGACTTCCTCTCGGCGATTATGGCAAATGAAAACTCAGGACTGCTTTCAGCTATTCATATCTCTCTTCTCAAAGCGTTAATTAAAGAGGATGAGAATAACGGAACACATTTCTGTCCACCAGATTGCAAGGATGCAGTCTCACTCTTATTTGGCTATGTTCTTGATCAGTACACGTGGCCTTATGTTCTCTCACTCTATTTGAGTTCAGTTAAATCTGGTGAAATTCCTGCTTTAGAGGCTCTTGCTCATGTGGGAAATTCAGCGGCTTTAGCATGGAGTAACACTGCAGGAGCACTCACTGCAAGTGGCGGCACTGATAGTGTTGTAACAACCAGTCTCTTCTTTGATGGAGATGAGTGCGTGGTTCCACTCGATCCCTCCTATCCCTTTGTGTCCATCTCCAAGAGGTTGGCTGTTCTCCGTGGTCTGATTGGCTTATTCCTTGGTACTGGTGCTGTTCGAGCCGATGTATTGCGCGAAGGTATGATGGCCCATGATGATTTCTGTCGGGTTTGTAGACTTAGTGGGGAGTTGTTGTGCTGCGCTACCTGTCCTGCGGTGTTTCATCTCACCTGCCTAACTCCTCCACTGGAATCGGTGCCACAGTCCCAGTGGTGGTGTCCTCTTTGTGTAGAGGAACATGAAATGTATGGGGATAAGAAAATCCCTAAATCTCGTGGAGAAGCAAAAATTCTACCCCTTGGCTATGATCGTGCCGGTCGCGTTTACTGGCACCTCGAAGGCCGTCTTTTTGTGTGAGTGGTTTGATTTGACACTTATTAATCTCTCTATTTTTGTGCTCGGATTTACTTGGTGTTTGTGAACTCAAACTTATCGCATTATTTCCCGACTTTTTTGTTTTGAGAAAAATTCGAAACATCGACAATCAGAAGATTTTCGGCACTTCTATTTTATTTGTCCAATGCCCATTATGAGCCGGACTTCGCGTGTTTAATTGGTTAACTATGGATAAGATCTATGTATCGCATAGTAGCTAAGTCCTTCTACTTTGGGTCCTGTAAATTATTTACCCAAATTAGTGACTTATGTGATTTTCTAGTTTGATGCTTGCTAAATCTATATTAGGGGGAAATGGCACTTTCCTTTTCTGGAAATTTTAATCGGTAAACTTCATTTTACAAATTTTGCTTATTTTTACTTTTTGCATAATTAAGTATGTCATAAATCTATTTAGCATTCACGTTAATGGATGATCCTGGAATTTTTTTATTCTTTACCCGAATTTTTATGAGTGATGTTTTAACTCTAATGGCCTTTATGGGACGGTTTGTTTTTAAAACCTGCATTTTTTTACTATTATACGGGGAGTTTATAAGTTTTGACTTGTTATCTTCCATGAGTAGGAGGGAGGTGAAGTGGAGTAGCACTTTGGTCTTAAAATAAGACTTCTATTTAGCTGCGGTTTTTATTAAGAGCTATTTTTCCCTAAAAATGCTCAACTCTAAAGTAAAGAGAACGTTGCGTTGGAGATAAGATTCAAACGGAGAGAGTAATGTCTCCAATGTTGTTTTTAGACTTTTTATGATATTAATTATCAAAAGCTATTTGGGTAGATACTTTTTAGCTGAATAAAGTTGTCGACTTTATCTGCTACTTTGCCCAAGTTGATCTTACGCTCCAAGAAAATTGTCATAATGAATGAGCTACTCTAATTGCTTCTTGAAACATGTCGGTAACTTATTTCGCTTGTGATGAGGTTTACTATAATGGCCATTTCATTATGTCTAGCGAACCATCGGATTTCGCACAACGGGAGCCTAAACTGCCGGGTTTGATGGAGGGAGTTCGAGATGAGGAGTGGGAGAAGTTAGAAGCCGACGACCCCACTGATGATCTTGAAGACTTCGAAGACACTAATAGCGAAAATAATCAGAGTGTGAAAGAAGAGGAAGACGAAGCTCCTGAAGTTAATATTCCTACGGATCCTTATGTTGCTTACGCCAGTGAGCCACCGGTCTACTACTACTCCTCACTTGAAAGCATCTGCTTAGTTCGTCAGCGTCTTTCAACCAAATGGGAGCGAGGTCTGTGTGCCAATTTTGACAATCTTATTACTCAGTTGGAAAAGACGAAACCGAAAACTGAGCCCAAAGAAGAAGAGGGTAGAGAAGTTGATGAAATTAACACTGTGATAAAGGAAGAGGATGAGGTGGCAAAGTGGCCAAAAGCTCTTTCCCTTCTGCCTTCTCTCAATGCTTCCCAATTGAATGCTCTTTTTGCCAATTCTCAACTTGCAATGTCTCCTCAAAAATGCGATGACAATAACGGCGAGTCGCGGGCTCCCGCTCCAATGGAAATCGCTTTTCTTCTGGATTTATCGGGTGGAATTCTTATCCACAATCAGGATGGGTTATTTGATAACTTTCCAATTCCTCCGGAAATCCATTCTCAAAGAATAAAGGTTAGGGTACAGAAATTCTTAACTCACTCAATGTTAAATTAATAGCATTTTATGGAGTTGTTATTCAGATTTCTCTGTCTTATTATGGGTCCTATCAAGAGTTTTTGCCAAGCTTGTTACTTTAAAGTCAGTTTACGTAATGCCAGTAGTTTTGATATAATTGTCGATGCTTTTACTTCGTACTGTTTGGGTAAAAATTGCTTTTACCTATTTTGGTACTTGAAAATGATCTTTAATCTATTTGTTCATCAATGATTTGACCCTAAAATTGCATATCTTCGCAAAATTAGTGTTGCAAATATTTTACTTTCATTGATTTTGAAATAAGTTGCGCTGATAAAGCAAAAATCGGACTTAATACATATTCAGTTAATGAGATAATCCTTTGTACTAGATGAAATGTAAAATACGATTTCTCAAAGAAGCTCTATCCTAGTATTCCTCTATGCCAACAAAGCAACTTTGAGAAACTCCGCTTTATTAGGTTTGAGCATTAACATTCGATTATAACATTCAATGTACAAGTAATAAATTTGTCTTGCACATCAGGAAACGCGTCCGGCACTTGTTGATCTCTCAATTCCACCTACAAGCCATCTGGATCCGTTATCCCGTTGGCGCAGGTGGAGAAACACGCTTTCAGAAGGTGTTTTCGTCCCCAATCCCACCATTATGGGGGATAACGGTTCAGCAGAGCTTGTCAATATCGCTCTCACCCGGCCGGAACAGCATGACGAGAGGGAAAAGCACCGATCTCTAGCAAATAAATTCTGCCTCTCAGATGCTGCTATGGCTGCCTGGAAGTGGTTGAATGCTGAAGCAACGGCTGAAATGATTCATCGAGCAACTGTTGGGAAGGAGAGACCTCTTAAAGATGACTATTTTGCCAAAAGACGAGCCGATGCTGTTGGTCCACAGAGATGGCTTCACACCATGAAACTTACTCTTTGCTACATGGAGTCTTTGGTTGGTGTCAATACCTTTAATCCTCTTTTTTTCTTTTTTGTTTTTTAATTCGCTCTTAATTTGACCTCTTTAGCTACCATCTGGGGCCATGTGTCCAGCTTGGCGAATGCTTCGCAAAGATTGGATAGAAGCTGTTCTCAGGTCTTCCTCTGTTTTCGAACTAACTGATCTCTTGGGTCGTCTCGAGGCCTCCATTAGACAGATATCATTCCTTCGAACTTGGATGGCTACCATGGGTAAATTTATTAATATGAAGCTATTTGACTTTGAAATTCACTTTTGATCTACCATTTTTTTTAATTTCCTTTAATTAATCAACCCAGTCATTCCAATTTCTGAATGTGTTTTGATAAGTTTCAAAATGTTTTCCATATTTATAACTTTTTGTATACATTCACTGGAACAAGTAGCGTATTGAGTAACAGAGATAATAAGCATAATTTCGAATTGTATTGGATTGAAATGAGTGGCAGTCGGTAGCAATAACCAATAAGATGGGACCGTTGTTAAGTTGGCGAATAAAACTCCAAATGCATGTATCAGATAGTGGGATGTTGCTTAGCTGCCTAAAGTCTGTAAAGATGGTCATAAACTGAAGTCAAACCAATCGTCATCTATGAATTGAGACTATCACGTGAAACCAAAATTTTAAGTCATTGTAATTAGGAAATCTGCCAAAACCCGAATCTTGAGTTTTATAAGGTTGGGGTTTGTGAAATTTACCGAACCTGTTGGGAATGCAATTTTCCAAGCATTTGGATTATGGTATCTTGGTGCTGCTTTATGAGAGTTGCATTCTGCAACTTTTTTTGTTGAATTTTGTCATCAACATCTCTGGATGAGCAATCGATCTAATGACTTTGGGTATGTGCTTATTGACGGTTTAGTGGAATTATCATGTCAGTAGAGGCGCAAAATCATGGATCCTCTTGTAAAAGATCGGACGTCGATTCTCTATTTTTATTTTGACTTAACTAATGCAGTTGCCCCTCCAACTTACTGAGTGTGCATTGATGGTCATTGAACCCATGGTTTCGAACTTCGGAGATTGAAATATTAGCTCTTGGGATACTAGAACAGTGTTACTTTGTCAATTTTCAATACTCATTTTGATTAAAAGGTGGATATGGTGAATCTCACTGGATAGTTGTTGCCATCTCTAGTGACCGGCACAAATCAGTGCAGATGGGCGTTCTTTGTATAGTCATTGTAGAGGTAGATATTTAACCTTTGTTATTTATCTTGTGGTAATCATTTTCCTTTTATGTTTTGCAGGTCCACTGCAATTGGATCGTTTCACTTCGGCCCAAAGGGAGGAAGAGAAACGGAAGAGAGCTCTCGAACGCGTTACTACAGCCGCCAACGCAGTTCCAACTAACTTGGTTCGAACTAAAACCGTCCAGCCTGTGCCTCACACTGTTTGGAAGACTCGTGGCGAAGAGTACAGACGTTTAGGAGGCGATGGTTGGCAATGGTACAGCTCTACTCGTCAAAAAGCTCCAGAACTGAACAGAAAACCCCTTATGGATCATAATTTACCCACTGATAGGCCTACTTATCTTGGCCTGGGATGGGGTGTGCAACCTGAACTCTTATCGTCATCGCCTCATAATGTACGCTTAATTAAACCTTATTATCATTAACGCTCGCCCCCACCCCCTTATAACTCAATTTGTGCTGATAATAGATTGCTCCAAGCGCCACTCCTACTCTGGGTACGCGGAAAATAACCTCAAACACGCATCCTATCACCGGCGTTCAAATCTCACAAAATGTTCCTCGTACAATTTACCGTATACCCAGAGAAATGATTCAAGAGAACTCAGAGTTCTTCGTTGATGGAGTTATTGATATATCTAAAGTAAGTGTAAATGCTCCCCAAAAGATGAATTAAACGGAGTGTAAATGAGTGTGATTTTTTGCTTACATTTTTTGTGATTGAAATAATGTAGCTAGTAATCTTGTTCAAATGCGAGATTTCCATAGTCTGTGCGGTCGAAAATTGTTTTAGAACTTTCGATCATGAACTGCATTAAAACTATGGTGAGAAAGAGTTCACTTTTAATCATAAAAGTTAAGGAATTGGAAGAATCCTAATTAATTTTGCTCTTGTATTGGCAACTTATAAAAAAATTGGAATGACTTAATTTCATATGATTTCCTGCATACTGTATACGCAGATTTAGTGATACCCATTTTTGGTATATTGGATTTCTGTGGAGAACATGGCTTATCGTGGTATTTAAATTGGCAAGCATGCAATTATCTGATAAGCAGTGTATAGTGGCGCCATGTTGAAGTAGAAACGAGCATAACGGCAAATCCAAGGAATTCGGATTCATTTGAGCTCTTAATTCATCAGTTTGTTCATTCTTATTTCATGACTATGGTTTAATATATCGTGTTCTAGTTTAGGCTGATTGTAGTAAGTGCTTGTTTTTGAACTCGCTAATTTATGTATGGTTAATCCTGTAATCTTCATTTATAGTGCCTCAGAGAAGGTGGTGGTAATTTCTATCCTGTGCCAAGTAAATCAGTGGAAAAGGAATCTAAACAGCATTTAGTTAACCATCGACGCACTGAATTTCGCTTGGATTCCTTGCTTGCACTTCGTATGGCTGCTGATGAACGTGGTAAAGCTTCTGCTGAATCTGCGACCATCGAATTGGCTGCTCTCAGGCAGGAACGTGAAGAATTGCTCTCCCGAATGACAGAGATTCAATCACGCCTTTCTGAATTGGCTAGCAAAGCACAGGAGGCTCGCAGTGAGCATGCTAGAGCCGTCAAAGCACGTCAAACGTCTATTAATGAGATAAAAGCGGAGAATGAGAGACAACTTGCCCAATCTCGAAGTGGTGCAAATCCGATGAGACGACCTGGTGGTGGTGGCGGAAGGGGTCAGCAAACTCCCGCTTCTAGGAACAACTTAAGTGTTTTCAGACCACCCGCTGCGAAGAGAGTCAAACGAGATGAAATCTCCAACTTTGAATCGGCCTTGGTGGCAAGTGGAGGCGAATCAGATGAATCTAGAGCTACATCATCCTCGAAACCAGGCAGCAGCAACGCTGAGTAAGTCGGTTTTAGGTTGTCTTGTATGATTAGTTTTCATTAGCGAAGTATTTTATCCCTATCAATGTCTTGTTAATTTATTTGAGATCGTTGAATTGAAAGAACCCAAAGAAATCTTGTGAAACTCGATGTCTCATAGTTGAAGGCTCATAGCAATCAGTATGTATAAAGCAATGGGGGCCACTCAAAGCAACCATTTTGTTTTTCAAGTTGGAAATGCTTAATTTAAATCTATTTACTATATTATGTTGAAAGTCCTGTTTGTTTCCTTACCACGCTAACGGAGATGCTAAAGTGGGCGTTATAATGACGTTCTGAATTAAAAATGTGATCGGAAACTACTTGTCTAAGTGTTTGTAGAACTTCTGGTGAGCTCTCGACCTCCTTTCTTCTCACGACTTTAACGTCACAATAAGGTGCATAGAAGGGATTAGTGCCCAACATAAAGGGAAACTTCAAGGAATTGGGACAGAGAGGGAGATTTCGTAAAGCAAAAGGGGTATTATATTAGGGTCTATAGGGTGGGTGTGCTTATTTTAGATCTGGATATAGCCCAGTTAGGTCAGATGCTCGATCAGCGTAGCCAAACGGAATCAGTTTATATCGTTAAGCGTCTTGTGTTTATGTAGGCCAGGTTGATCGATCGATAAGGTCTCGAGAAGAATCGTAATTCTTATGAACATAACTGAATAGTAGGGCCGTGCTTACTTTTATTGTTGGAAAATCGATGACCATTTTGAAAGAAACCCAATATAAAATTTCATTGAAAAAGTTGTAGCACACGTAGCCAATAGGCATGTTTCCTCTCTTCAGATCGAGTGGTCTTCGACGTAGTTCCCGTCGTCAAAAGACTAAGAGTGTGGATCCCGATTTCGTAATGGATTTTTGTGAAGATGAGGACGAGGAAGAGGAGGAGTTTGTCGGTGAAAAGGTCGTCGGCGATGATGAAGACGGTGGGGACGTTATGGACGTATTCAGATCTCGAGGTGCTCGTATTCCACAATTTGACGGCGCCGCTGATGACGATGGTGGCACCAGTGACGAGGAAGTGGAAAATTTCGGTGTGGATGAGAACAATGATGAGCAGAATCGTGTGACGATAAAAATTAGTGACACGGCTAAAGCAACACAACTCAAGGTAATTCCCGCAGTCTGAAATCAAATCTGATCTGTTGTTGCTTTTTACTGTCGTCGGGAATTTGACATTTTTATATATTTTCAATGTGTTGACTACCTCGACAATCTTGGCCGTTTTTTCCTGCCACTCAAATATCGCTGGCAATGTTGCATTTCATTCTGATATGAATTCCATTGATGTGTAATTATGGCCTTAAGGAGACGTTCGTCGATTGGTTGATTGTTGTAATCTTTTTGAACATTTTCGCTTTTTGTGAAAAGGAACACTTATTCTATAAAGTTATTATCTTTCAGTCCGTTAGCGTTACACCAGTGAAGACAATACCCATCACTCCTCAAGTTCGTGCTACAACTGGTGGCGTTAACCCTGTTGGAAAAAGTCTTCTTGCTTTGGCTATTGAAGGCAAAACTCCTCAGATTATCACTAACCAATCGGTAAGTAATCCCACCTGGATGACATTAGTTCCTGCATATACGCCTTAGCCTTATCATATTTTGTCTTCTTTTCAGACACCAAACGGAGAATCAGCGTCAATTGAATCAACTATTAGAATCATACAGGCTCCTACTTCTGCGAGTGCTACTACGATATCCACCAACGTCAGTCAAGGACCAATGCGTTTGGTCCGAGTTCTAAATTCAACTGCTCCCTCTGGAACTTCAGTACTTCGGCCAGTTGCTCCTGCCACCCCTGCCGGTGCTTTTATTTTGCAATATCTGCTATTTAATTTAATTGAGTAGAGATAAATTAACGCGCTTTCATTTTTTAGCTCCCATGTCGGGAAATCTTATAATCCCAGCATCAACAGACTGTGCCTTGCAGAAGTCTCTCATTCAGGTTAGCTATATCTGTAGTAATTTATTTTTATGCAACAAGATATTATAGAATCGGGGGCTATTGTACTTAGAAATTTTGCAGAATCTTGAAGTAATCGTGGACAGATTGAAAACTTTTTAAATGATGGTGCGGTCTTTGTTATGTATGCCCTTTAATAATGGAAATCAGTAACCTTGAATTAGAGCTTGCCATGGATAATTTTTTTATTTTCTTGTTAAGACTATCGAACCCATTCGTAGGTTTATTTAATTTGCTGTCTTTTACCAAAGGTGGACGATAATAGATATTCAAATGCAATTTGATGGCTCTTTTTAGGCACTCAAGGTCTATCACATTTTCATTTGTCGGTGAATAGTTTGGACTGTGGATTCTTTTCGCGATAATATTATTATTATTGGTATTATTAAAGGACCGATTGGAATGCTCTTTAATGGATTTATTCCCTTAACGACTCCCTATTTTTTGATAACGCCCACTCTGTTCTGCCAACATCTTATTCTCATTTACTACTGTCTATGAAACAGGCATCTTCACTTTCATCGAGTATATACCTCTTTCCATATTTTTTTGTAGCAAAGAGCCTTGAAGGCAAATGCTTTATTAAAATAACCATCCGATCGAATTCATAAAAATTCATCTTTATGTGCTATTTTAATAACTTAATGAATATGCGATTGATTAGAATTCATTTTTCTTCAGCTTTCGTCAAGCAGCGGTGTTATAGTGACACAGGCATCTCAGCTCCCTGCCGGCTATCGGCTGATAACTCCTTCCAGTCTTCCCACTGCTGCCTCAGGACCTCGACAACCGCTGAATATAGTTCAGGTGGTTCCCCCTACACAAGCCACTGCCTCCCAACAGCTATTTCGTCCTCGTCAACCGTCTACAGCCTCATCTTTAATCACCATTGCCCCTTCGCCTATGCCCAGACCTCAAATGCGTCCTCTCTTGCCTTCTCCATTCTCTAGTGGTGGGGTGGCTCAACAGAAATCTGGTCTTGCTCCACGCATGGTCCGCATGGTAACCCAACCTATGCAACTCGACCCTCGATTGGATGAAGCTGTTATTGAAGCTGCTAATAAGCAGTATGAAATTGATATGGAGATTTTTAACCTACGCAAAGAGGTTAGATGTTACCTGACATTACATTGTCGTCTGTATACTTGTAAATTCCATCATGGTAGAATTTTGGAGACTGTCTCTGGCATCATGGAATTACATGTTTTTTTTTTCGCTTCATCTAAAAATCGGGTGCCTTTTTGGAAACGAAAATTCTGAGGGAGTTAGGTTTGAACTACAAAGAGAATGTTGAAGTATTAGCATCAAAATTCAAGCAAGGGGTTTCTGGCAGGTCTTGAAGAAGGTGAAGAGATATTGCCATGATGAATTAAAATTTAACTACGCAGTGTCCCACGCCATTTTTTCAAACTTCGTCAAAACGCCTTCATAGTAATTTAAGGTCAACACTTTGTCTTTCTAGAAAGGCTTTCGCATCCCATGGCCTTCTTATTGAACCTTTCATCTTTGAATTTGCCAGTCCCAGATATTCCCCTTTTTAAGCCACTCTTGATTGAATTTTATTTTCTTCATCAAATTGGTAGATCCAGGTTACATCTCCGGCATTGCAACGCTTAAAATATTCACATTTTCTTCCACATTTGCTAAATTTGCTAAAAGATTGTAGGCTCTTTAGATCGGCTGCTGTTTCTGCAACGCTTTCGAAACTTACAAATATCCACTGAGAGCTTGGTCAAGACCAGATATTCAGTAAGAACTGAAAATACTGCTCCGTGTGCGCTTCCCACTCGTCGGTCTTATTCCTGTACTAGATTCTGCCCAAGAGAGATGTTTACCGGATTTCTAACTGTGTTGTGTCTCCCCCCACGTGGGCCGTCATCAAGTTGCACTATTTCTCCTTTAAAGCCTTTAATCCAATCGTAAATGATTGCTCTACAGGGTGCAGAGTCCCCATAAACCTGTTGTATAGCCTTTATGATCGAAATGGGTTCCCAATTTATTTGGGTTAAAAAGTATTATGCTAGTTCTTATCTTGAGAGCAATGAAAGGGTCGCAAGAATTAGGATGCCCTGAATCAGTTATATAGCTCTACCAGTCTTGATAAGCTACCACCATTAGATCTACCTTGATCGTCATTACAAAAGTAGTGAGTAAACAAGGTTCTCAATGAATAATTTATCTTTTGTTGAAATTGAGTGCAGGCGTGAATGATCTCGACAAAAATCTACAACAGTGTAAGTTAATCGGTGGTGATGGAAATTTACCAATACACGTTTCTCTCTTTCAGTTACATGATCTTGAATCCAAGTTGGCTGAACTGAAGGCGCGCATTCAGGAGAGAGAGGATATCGTAGCACGTGGAACTCAATCGACAGCCAAACGATACTCCCTCAACCCAATGGACAGTTCCCTTCTGAAACGTCTGAATCGAGCCGCCGTTGCAAGATGTGGTGATTCTACTGAGAAGTACATAACAGCGCTGCAGAAGAGACATTTTGTGCACTTACCCAGTAAAACTCCCCAAGTTAATCCCTACGCTTGGCCTCCTGATGCCTTGTGTGAGTGCCGAATATCCTCAAGTTATCCTCAGAAAAATCAAGCGACCTATAAGCCCGTTCCGAATCTCTTCCGACTGAGTCGATCTAGCTTGAAATTTTTAATTCGCCATGCTGGCAGGGTAGAAATCCCCGGTTATGATGCTGAAAAGAAACGACTCACTTCTGTAAGTTGATTGATTGCTTTAAACAGATGGTTTGCAATAGTTAAATCAAATCCTGGGGGCGTGTTGGGGAGCAAAGTTGAATTTGTAGTAAGCTTAATGTTACGGTAGTGTATAGTCAATTACTTTGCACCCTTTGTTGGCATAATTAAAACTTACAAATAACTATTCCCTAAAATTAGCATGCTATTTCAAAACAGAGATGAAATAACACCGGTGTCAAAATATATTTTAAAGAAGAATAGACCCAGCGTAACAAAATTTTAGTTCTGTCTGTAGTGCGATTCTGTGTGTTTAGGAAATAGATGAACTGCTTTACACCTAAGCGGATAAATCATTCTCACAATTGGTAATTACATTACAATAATAAAGTAGGTAAACATGGAATAAGCTCATTTAAGCCTTTGGTGTGGATAGTTAAAAATATTATTCCTCTTTTTTATATATTATAAATCACTGTATGCATTTTTGCAAATTATTGCACCTCTTGGTTAAGTGCTCATATTCGCTTGATCACTGAACGGTAATATGTTACTTATGAGTTACTTAAAAGCTCTCCGAACAAAATGTGTTCTATTTCCCCTTTAAAGCCCTTAATCCAATGTTGTAGGTGGCTATTAATCGATTGCTCTTATTCATATGCCCTTCTCTCTACTAAGGGGTAGGTCGTGACACATGATTAGTTCCTTGCATGGACATTGTTGAAACTATAAAATTACTTAAAATTTCTTCATCTCCTGTCTTGCCTTAAAATATTACAGTATCAGGATTTTTCTTTCAGTACAAAGCTTTTCGTTAATGGTCATTTCTTTATTATGATTTCTAACTTTGTTTCTAGATAAACTGGATATATCCAACAAGTCGGCCTTGCTTTGCAGAGACCTGGCGATATCGACTACGTCAAATAATCATCGCAGACCAATCAGCGGAGTCTAGTTGTGGTTCCTTGAATTCCCCCTCTCATTATGGTGTTTCCATGGCAAATCTTGCGACACATTTACGTCTTTTGTGGCATTCACTACGTTGGGATGAGATTACAACGTTTGCAGCTAGATGCGACGAGGCGACCCTTATTGATGATCGATATTTCCTCAAATTGACCATTCCAGAGAGTCATGGTGGTGGCTACACTTTAAGGAGAGTTGTTGGGGTTAAACCTCTGGTACGTTAAAGTCTGTAAAACAGTACTTTGTCTTGACATAATGGTTTATGTTTATTGAAATGTCCACACAGACATAGCCTTAATCATGCTAACCTTAGGTAAGAATCAATCTTTAAATGTGTTTGTTATGCGTCATTGGTGTGTTGATCAACATTCACGCTCGCCTAGTCAACCATTGCCATAATCAGTTCTTGGCCGTATATGCACTTCTTGACCAATTGTACTGAATGCTGCAAAATATCTAACCCCCACTCCGAGTTTGGGAAGAATTACGATTGTTGTAGAAATTTTAGCTGGTATTTCATAATGGGTAGATTGTATGGGGTCGTGTGTGTTAGTGAGTATAACCTGCTATCGTACTATTAGCTTATTGTGGTAGTGTGGCCTAAATGAGGTTCCACGAGTGTTTTTAATATTCCATTGCAGTAAGAGAGACAAAAAGAGTACGAGAGTGAGAGGACGCAGCCATCAAATTATAAGTAACTGGTTATGTTCAATACAACGCGGCCTTTTGTTTAAGCATATCAAGTCTTATTTAGATCTGCATACTCCCAAATACTTCTCAATTTTTGTGAAGATGCTGACCTTATTCCACATTGACGAATTTTAGTTGGAATGAATTAGTGGCAAACAGGGTACGAAAGTAAGAAAAACAGCCTGATGTGTCTTAGTGCTGTACTGAAACCCTTTTCATATGATTCATATGAAAGTATCTTGTATCATTTTTTCATTCAGTACTATTTTAATGTATGGGTGATAAGTTGATTTTTATTTTAGGACCCCTATTGGTTACGAGCAAATTTCCTCGTGGAGACAACGACCCACAAATCCCCGGTGGTACGCAAACGTCCCGCTCCACGAAGCAATAATGCCTTGAGCAATGGTGCTGACGGTGGTGGTGAGTTCATCAAAACCCCCGGAAGAAGGGGACGTCGGCCTGGTAAGGGTAATAGCAAGGGCAAAGCAGATCCCGATTACGATCCAGCAGCGGATGAAGGTTGGCGAGTTGGAATACCCTGTTCTGCGCGTTCTCGCCGATCACGTAGACTCAATTATAACGAGAATAGCAGTGATTTGGAGACAGATCAACAGGAAGATGGTGTGGATGAGGAGGATGAGGATGGAGAAAATGGGCAGGAGGCATCGGACAAATCTGGCTCTCGTAAAACGACACTTGAGTGGACCTCTGAGGAGAACTTGGAGTTGTGGGAAATCAGAAATTTCTTTGATAGGTGATACTTTTATTGCTAAGAAGAAATTAGGCTTTTCATCCATTGAAAATCTTGAGATATTTCTGTCACCATGATTTAATTACCCACAAGGTTTATTAGGCTTACTTTGACTCAGATTCAGAGAAAATTGCGGCCAAACTTTTGTCGCTTCTGGACATTTTATTTGTCTAAACAGGCTTTATAGTACTAGAAGTTTGGCTCTAAATGTTTCGTGAAAGCCACGAAATCGTCGATTCAAGGGTAGTAATGTCCAGACTAGCTACTGGGTGCAGCTCCAATCCCCTTGTAATAACTTGACCCCTCTCCCTCTCTCTCCAATTGATTTTTGAGTTGGGTTGGCTCAAAATTCTGTCAACCTGTATGGACTCACTTTTCCACGTCAGGGAAGCCATGTCTGGGTGGTAATTGTGGCTATTGGCTAGATAAATAGTTGTATTCATCTTCATGTCTCGAGGTCTGTAGTCATACTCAATACAACTGCTTCTTTTCGCCTTTTACTTGTTATTTTTCTTGATCATCATCGTATTTCACGCACTGTGCATTCTATATCAACCTGTTTTATGGCATAAAATTGCTTGATAAAGTCCCATTGCTACAGATCTTATATTATATCAAAATTATATCTTTTCAATTAGCCTTACGTTATTATTTTGGAGACCTTTTGTTTTCTTACTTAGACAAATTCGCAAGCTGTTTGCATTGCTGTTCTAGTATAAAACTTTTTTCCCATTTCAGTCTCTTGCCTCTTGATACTCCATACCCACCGTCAGTTCCCCGACTTGCTCTTGAAGGACTTCCACAAGCTCTCGTTGAAGAATTATCTCCCATTTCTACCGTTAAAGAGGATGACACTAAAGATAATATTAAACAACTGCTCGGCACGAAGTCGTCAGAAGGACGTTGGATCCAGCCTTCTTGTCTGCTTCCTCCAGAGGCTCTGCGTCCTCCTTCGCCCAAACCACCTTCGCCACCTGCCCCATTGCCACCACCTCCAAGTATCGTTGTTATGGAATCAGCGGGATCGTCGCAATCTCTTGTGGGATCATCTATTGCTCCTTCTAGTGAGCTAATTTTACACAATTAAGAGCATTAATCCCTCAATCCTAGTTGTTTAATGCTTGTTCTTGAACTTCTTTAGCTCCACTTTCCCCATCCTCATCATTCCGTCCTTTGATTGTCAGTTCAAATCGTCATCCTACTACTCTCCCTCGTACAGCACAAGTGGGCACGACCAATAGACGCCGAACCTCCGAGTTACAGCTGACAACTCCAACAGTTCGGTCTATGCAACAACAGCACCAGTCTCTATCGCAAGCGAAGCGCCCCAACGCACCCCTCTCACCAAACACAGAAGCTGCAAGGGCACGAGCTCGCTCGCTCGCCGCTTCACATGCGGCGCGTATCTCTGCGGCCAACCGACGTTTTAGAAATGAACGCGCTGCTGTGGAGAATCGAGTGTCAGCTCTCCTTCAGGAGATGGACAATCGTCGAAGACTGACTGTCAAATTCTTAGCTCTTCAGGTTCAGGTTAGACAAATGTGTCCAATTTGCAGTGTATATCTGTTCGTTTTGAAGCCTTGAAGGAAATTCAGTTCAATGCTTATCTTCCCTTCTACCACTTCGGTTGATCAAACGGTTCAAACCACATCTAAGACTTAAATAGCTTCGTGGCACTCCTCTTACTTCATAAATAGATTATTCTTTATTCATTGCATTGAATGTTTTGTATCTAGTTAGTCTAGTTTTGGAATAACATGAACCGATGTCGCCAAATAAGGAGTTAAGACTATAACTGTCAGCTGACAACATTTTCAAGAAGTACGGCAAAGTGTGCCAATTAAACCGCAATGTTCATCATTTAGGACATACTGGATGAAATCATTTGTTAGTACCCATTGTGAGTTAAATGAATACTTTTAGCATGAATCCATTTATGGTCTGTTACCATTGTTATTCACTAATTTTCAATCTGAATTAATGCTAGTGTTGGAGTAACATGAACCGAGTTCATCATTCTAGGAGTTTAGGTTAATAGTTAATGTGGCGCAGATGAATGACGAATGCTGCTCACAAAGTCGTCAAATTATAAGGAAGCGTTAAAGGAGATCTAATAATAAATGTGCTTATATTGACATGAGTCATATGGGTAGGTATATGCGTGAGTGCAAGAGCCCAGATGCACTTTTTCTTGGAAGGAACAGTAATTGAAAAAAAGGAGAATTAATAAACTCCTCTAGGCATGCCAGAGAGGTTTGAGTTATAGGGCCTTTAATGCGAATAATCAACTGGTTTTCACTAAGATGTAACTAAAGAATAGTTTTGGAAAATTCATAATAAGTCATTCTGCACTCAAGGAAGATATGAACTTAAGTACAATTTTAACGCCACTTTCTAATTTGTACTAAAATTTTCTCGTATCAATTTTTTTCTCTATTATGGTACAAAAACAATTGTTTAGTAAATGTTTATGCTCTTTCCCTTTTGGTCGAAATCATTTCTGCAGCTACTTATATGTATTTTCCGACTAGGAGGAAGTCCTTCAATCAAGAAAACCTCCTCAACCAGAGGAAACTGTTGAATCGATTCCCACGCCATCTTCATCTGTGGTAGCGGTGCCAACCTCTCAACCTAAAGGAGCTAAGAAGCGTCTTAAGGTGGCTAAGAAGGCAATCAAGAGTGAAAAAGACGAGTCAACTGTAACAGCTACTCCCTCTGGTGATCAAACCCTGCATCAGGTAAAACCCGCTTCAAATCGCAAGCGTGCTGCTGTCGGCAGATCATCAAAATTGGCAAAGCGGCGCCGCAGAACATCTTCGGCAGAATCTCTAACGCCTTCAACTGAACCCTGCACTGATTCCGACGAGACTCTGCTTGCTATCAAACTCTCACCAGAAAAGAAAAAAAGTAAAAAGCATGTTACGAAGAAAAAAGGGCCAGATGAATTGCATTCAATGAAACCACAGGATGCTGTACGTGCTTTTCTGATTGAGTCTATAATATTAATAACTATTTGCCGATTTGGTAGCTAAGATCTTTCTATGCTCACGTTAAGTGTTGAAAGTTCTTCTTGATGTTCCTTGTAAACACTAATGATGGTGTTTTAAGATTCAGATGCCACAACCTAATATTCTTGAATCTAAGGTAAAAGGAGGATTTGGTCTTTCGAGTTTGTCAGGCAATTTGTTTTTGATTGCTTATTCGGGCAGTCATGGGCTTTGTTCATTCAGTTTTCAGTTGGTGGTTCGTCGCAAGTTTGATTTGAAAGGCCATAATCATTTAGAATTCTTTTTCAAACGCTTCTCTTAGTTGGGGAGGGCCATCATGGAACCTCCGTTGTAAGATTCGAAGTTGACAACCATATTTACTATCCATTATGCTCGCTTGGTGTGCGCCGATAGGATTTGTGCACGTGAACTCTGTTACATATGCGACAACTTACGAGACACTAGTTTGAAGGAGCAAATCTATATTCAACCTTTTCCAAGTGCCTCTAGAACATCCTATCTTCCCCTCCCGATAGTAAATCTCGCTTTATATAAAATTTAGACTCCGAAACGTCGCACTGGTAGATCAATTAACATTTCGGGTCGTGGACGTGGTGGAAAACGTCCTCAAGCTTCTCCATCCTCCCCACATTCTACCACCAACGACAACAGCGTCAGCACTGCAACTGCGGGGCGCAAGATTCGAGGTCAGCCTAAGACAACAACGTCATCATCGATCAAAGCTCGAATGCCTATTCGAACTCCCCGTTACCTCCTTGATGAAGAGTCGGTAAAGGCAGAACAGCATACTTCCGATTCGCTCCCACCTATCAGTTCTAAGAAAACGACTTCCGATACCACAGTTGCTGCTGTGGAACAAGGGAAACTTTATTGTTTGTGCCGGAAACCCCATAATCCTGATGAGTTAATATAATCTCCCTACTTGAATATATAAAGTAGTTGGTATCTTATGCTATTTTTGCATTTTTCAGGGCCTACATTGGCTGCGACCTCTGTCAAGATTGGTTCCACTTTACCTGCGTTGGACTCAATCCGGATACGCCTCCGGAAGAGATTGGTGATTCATGGCTCTGTCCAGAATGCCGAAAAGCGGAGGCAAAGACGAAAGATGAAGTCTACTGCATCTGTCGAACACCATACAACCCTGCTCGGTAGGGTTTTTATTTGATTTTGTTGTGCTTTGTATCCTATATCTCTTGGTTTCATTTTATTCCTTTGTTGGCCATCGCATTATTGATTAGATTTGTAGATGCTGAATTCGATTTTGTTTTGGCTTTGAGGTGAAGGGTTGAACTTGGGTAAAAATTTGTGGGAGACTGGATTCTTCAAAAGTATTGAAAGTATCCAATTGACTATTTTAGTGCATCTGTAAAATTTCGATTTTGAAATCAATATCCACCATATTCATTAATTAAACTGTAAGGAGGAAGGGATCCTGATCATAGGACAGAAATCCAAGTATTTATCCCTATCCATTCGTACTGAAGACTAGATGCCTCGCGTCAGCATCACACTTTTTCAACGCTTTGCTGATATAATTTAATCAGTGATCTGCATTACCTCTTAGTAATGTTTTTAATAGACTAATCGAACAGCGGACTTAAAAATATATTTTTGCGGTTATATCTAGAAGAAGGATTCGGAAAATATGAAATGTTGGATTCAGTACTTTTCTTCATAAGAATATGTTCTATTTCCCTTTCAAAAGATCTTTTGAGAAGATACGTTGAAATTAATGTCAAGATTAAGGGTGATATTCCGGTATTTAGTGCTTCGTCTACCTCTGCTTTCCGTAAGATTCAAAGCCTCCGGTTGTTTGGTTTACTTTTCCTTGTTTGGGATTCCTGAGAAATAATGGTCCCGTCGATGATGTAAAATCATTATTTTCTTTTCATCAAACACTTTATGATTTTATATTTTATTTCCTTCGCTAAATTTCTCTTGAGGCGTGATACTATTACTCAAACTGCTTGATTAGGTGCTTATCATCATTAAACGCACATGCTCATTTTATTTAGGGTATACATCGCGTGTGACCGTTGTGACGAGTGGTATCACCCTGAATGTGTTAACATGAAACCAGAGGACGCCGCTAATCTTGAGGGATCTTACATCTGTCCTTCTTGTTCCACCACGAAGGGATCTTCTTCCTCAAAGAAATCATCACGAGTCAGGAAGAAGCCAAGAGAGAAGCAGGCTCATGTTGATAATGTGGGAGTGCCAGGGGAAGAAGTCGAAAGCAGTGAAGTCTCCAGCGGAACTATTTACGAAACTCCTCTGACTGAACCAATAAAGAAGGCTGTTGAGGATATATTGGAAGATCTCAGTGTAAGTTCACCCACTTTCTGTCGAATGTAAAATTTTCAGTCAACCTTGTTACGTTACTTCATCTAACTTTAGAGTTTCTTCTCTTTTTTCTGATGGTGCATTTTTCTTCTATCTTTGTAGTGGTAAACTGTCGACATGGCGGCTCGATTTAATTGTCGTCCAGTTTATAAGCAATATACCATATTAGAGTTCGAGTTGAATGAATTATATTAACTTGGGCAATGTTTTAAATGTCTATTTGTCTCTTCTACCTGTTGATATGGCTAGCCACTCAGTTTAGCTAACTAACTAGACTAACATCCTATTCATGTTAGTTGATAGTAGTAATTCAGTCGCATAGAGCGGTTCTTTGTGGCTGCCAAGAATTCATTGCTTCATAGGTCTTAATAATACCTACATCTATTTCTGAACCTGTTTTCAGCATTGTTTAGGAAGATTAAGAGATTCAATGAGTCTCCACGACGAAAAGCTCCAATTCTTCCTCATTATTAGCCACATTTGTGCGATTGATCATTCAGTTCATTGGATGTACCCGGTATGTGTCGAACCCTCGACGTCTTGCCTCGATGCACGCTCAATAACGTGCATTTATTCATAACCTACTCTAGAAGAAACGTGCAAAGTTTTAGATTTGTTAAATTAGGTTCATATTGGCATGTTCTTTACTTTGTAGAAACACAAACTCGCGTGGCCGATTATGGAGCGCCTACCTCTGAATGTACAAACTCCATCGTTGCAAAGCCCTATAGGTATGCCCTCTAAGTATTTCTTCAAATTTTGAGTTAGTTTTGCATACTTTCGAGGGGACATCAAGTCAAGCGTTCAGAAATAGACTTTCTATAGCCTTTCCAGTTGCTTTAATACCCATGTTTTCTTTATTTCGGGCCATACAATTCCTTCAGTCGCCAATACTGTTGGGGAAGAGGTATGCTGGATTCGAATTTGATCAGTAGATTAAGTAGGTTGGTGTTAAAAGTACAGTGTTAATCTACTCAGCTCTTTGTATAGTGGTGTGGTTGGTTTAGGATTCTAGAATCAGGTTGCTATCTTGTTATGATTAGTACTCCCGTATTGGATGAAATCTCGCAATGATGCCCCCTCCTCGATCATTACAATTTATTAAGTTCAATCGCTTATGCCTTTATCCCTCTTTCAGACATAAACAGTTTTAAGGCAGCATTTGAGAAAGGGGAGTACAAATCATTGGGCGATGTATCATTCGCTGGAAACCGTCTCTTCTCAAATGCCAGATCGGCCTTCGAAGTAGGGTCGAATGCTTTGCACTGTGTGGAAGTGTTGGAATCTTTCTTCGTTCATCGTATGAAGGAGGTGCGTGCTCTCACTGAACAGCATCAACAACAAGGAGATTCATTATCTTCTTAGAACATTGACCCTTGTATAGTTTTCCTCTCTTCTCTGTCTCTCAATCTGGTTTTTTCTACTCGTCTATTTTTATTTAACCACTTATAGTATGTATGTATGTATGTAATTGTTATCCGTTTCCCTATGCATTTTGTACTCCTCTGCGGCAAACGGCCGATCTTGTTGCTCCCACGTGCAACGAAATTATAAAAGATGGTATTCCCCTGTTTATATATAGATTTCCCTATTTATAAGTCCACTCTCTAATATGCGTATATATACATATATGAATTCGAGGTCTTATTGGTCTTCTTGTACGGGATTTAGTTTAAGTTCACGGTGTTCGGTTGATTGTGCAATATTTCATCATTTAAACCATTTAGTTAGTAAGATGTCGAGGCGGCCTATTACAAATTGGGATGTCCACATTATTAGGCTGGTAATCGTGAATTCCTGGTTGGCTAAATTCATTTCGCGCCGGACATGTATTTACTTAAAACTAGAGTAAATAAGCAAACTTATCTAGATCAAATTCAGGTGGACTGTTTTTCTTGTGCCTGGTTCCCATTAATTTTGGAACTGTTCATTTATGCAAGTGAAGGTAGGGGAAAAGGGGTGGTGGAGCCGCTGGTGGGAAAGTGTGATTATGACCAAGTAGCCAACTCTCGATTAATTGGTCCAGATTCAAGGATTTATATAGAAGGTGCTCTCAATCGCTCGTGATCTCCGCGTTAAAATTCACTTCAGTCATAATCCATCTTTCTGCCTTTCGGTTTGGGGTTATCTTGTGGCGCAATGAACGATGTCATTCAGTCCACAATATTTACCGAGAGAAGGAATACGAATCGTGAACTCTTAAAAGCTATTTTTGGACATCTCAAATTTGCATAACATGGAATTGTACTTGAGATTAGTTTTCCTGATCGGTGGGAGGTGTTCACTTACATTTTCCTAGCACTTTTAAAATGGAGTTGCAGTAGAGTACGGTTCAACCCTTAGGCAACTGTAATCTCGTATTGATCTGATTAGTCTGTGTTGATAAGTTCTACCTGTTTTGAGAGCTCTCTGACAGCCTGGCGACTTGAGCTGTATGACTTTGAAATGACACAAGCTGATCTTCAGAGAGAACTGTTATGCAGATTTTCGGCCCCGGGTGTATGGTAGCTTTACTGAACACCGCATAACCAACCATTAGAGCAGCCTAGTGACCAAGGGTGATAATTGTGACGTGGACAGTGATCTGACTAATGCTCTGATGCCCTTCCGATTAGGAATCAAGTAGCCGACTCCCTTGTTTGATATATTCAAAATTGAGGCTTCTCACAGTATAAAAGCTGTTGAAAATCAAGATCCATTTTACTTCTCGGAAATTTTATCTGGTAGAGGTGGCCGTAGCCTTCGATAAATTGTGTAACTGAAAAACCAGATTATCTGACTTTCGTTGATAAAAACCTTATAGCCACTTAAAATTAACTCAATCTCTCTGTGTTCCAGAGTACTTAAATGTATATTCACGGAAACAACTTCTCAACTCACTAACACTGCCATGAAACCTAGTGTTCCTGAGAAATTGGAAGAATAAAGCCACACACGAGAAAATAGGAAGCCGGCATGTCTACATATACTGACTGAAAAACGGTGGTAACTTTTGCGTCAAGATCATCACTTCATCACGGCCTTTATACCCTTTAATCACTCTAGGTGCATCGTTCGCCTCTTTATTGACTTTTAGGACCGTCATTTTATATATGGCTTTATCTTTAATATGCAACTTACTACAATTTGCAAATAAATATAACAAACATTTGCAACATTAGGCCAGACAGTGAGATAGTAAGTGGACTTATGCTAATCTGTGTTCGCTTGTTCTAGTATCTCAGCATTGAAAAAAAAGAAGTTGAATAAAGAAGATGAAGTATATTTACTTATTCAAAATGTAAAAACTTTAAATGCGAGTAAAACTGAGCAAAATACGGGGTGTGACAGGAGGGCCTTATATTTCCCCATCATCACAACGCCACTCCAAAGAGGACAAAAGTGCTTGGCACAGTTGGGGCGATCTGTGTCGTTCACGGGCTCCACTCAAAACCCTCTTCACTGAGTCTGGGGCAATTTGAGCGATTCGAAGTATCACGCGAGCAACAGCTGTGCGGATTACACTCTCACCATCATCAAGATGAACTGCAACTGTGGAGGTGAGATCATCCACAACTGCAGAATAAACAGAGTTCAGTTTTAAATTAGGAGTAGTTTCTTGGGAAGTTTGCAAAGAAGCGACAGGAGGTGGACGATCAATAAGATTAGGAGACATCACCCAAAACCATGTTACGAAAGCATCAGCAGCACGCAGACGAACATCATCCGAAGCATCATCAAGAGCTTTAAGTAAGTTAGGATAAAACCTGTAGACTTTATCGCCTAGGGAATCGGGCAGAGGAGTTGTTAAACCAGGCATCTTGTCACCATGTCTTTCGATATCGACTTCTTCGACTCCTTTCGAATCATCTTCTAGCAGAGGCAGAAACCAGGCTGGAGAACGAAGGAAGGCACCTGGAATATATTTTCCATTAACACAAGTACTCCCTTCTACACCAACTGCATCTTCAGAGCCTCCGGAAAAGATGCCTCCAAAGAGTAGAGTAAGAGCGGTACAGGCGAGAAGTCGAGTGCCTTCAACATCATCAGTCAAAAGACCACCTAATCGAGCTAATAGCTGAGCGAGAAGTCGCGGAGAGACAGCACTAATTAAACCGAGGTTCGCTAAATGACCAGTATCTTCAATATTACCAGAAGCAGGAATTGGACGATCAATTAAACGAACTCGATTGCTCAAGAGGGCTAAAAGAAAATTAAATGAGAGGGAATAGAAAATAACTCCTAAAATACTATAGAAATAGCTGGTCTATAATTGTAATAGTTATATATTTTTAAAATATTTGCTGTTTCAGGAAGTTTCTTTTCTCACTAGAATTAAATTCCCTCTCAGCTAGCTGTTTCTGGCTGCAAAAAAAGATGCGGATAAATCGGGGCGGAATTACTAATCATGGACATAAAACAACAGATCAATGAACACGGAATATGATATACAATGGCTCATTCACGAGGAAAATTGAACACGAAAGAATGAACAATTCAGTGCTAGTGTATTCGAGTAAAGTAAGAATTGTGGTGCCTTCATTTCATTACCCACTCACTGAGGGCTTCCTACACTCCTTCATACCTTTTTGTACTCGTCAGTCCTGTCACTTAATTTCTATTCCACCAACATTAATAATAATAATATAATACCTTATTAAGTGGAAAGCTAAAATAAGCAGAGCCTACCATTCTTGTTTTTCAAATCAGCAAGTTTGCCTTTTGTCGGCTCGATTCGCTCATTTAGCCATTGGTCGAGCATTCGTTCACGGGGAGTGACACCTTCAGAAGATAAGTTAGTTGCAGGTGATGGGGAAGTGAGCGGAACAACAGCAGCTAAGAGTGCCACTAGAGACGTCGCGGCGGCTTTTCTCATAGCCTCTGCTGTGCGACCTGCACGCCACTGGCACGAAGGCAGCACAAGTCTCTCCAGGCAGTATCTAAAGAGACGAGGCTGTGTCATAATCACCTAAAGGAAAGAAAAAAAAGGAAAAAAAAATAATACTGCATACGTTCTATTTCAAGAGGCAATATCGCAATCATGTTATGTTAAGTTTTGATACTTGGGGTGGCTATGATGCATAAATCTATGCATTTGCTACTACAAGTGCAATCAATGAACAGAAAATTTGCGATTGCTTAATCTGCCAGCTACTATTTGTCATCGAGAGTTAATGTCTTATAGTTGAGACTGTGACTCGATTTCCACTCCCTCCCACTACTCTCCCCACCCCCCCCCCCCCCCCCCCCCCCCCCGCCGTCCTCCCGCTATCTAACACATTTATTTTTAGCTAAAATATTCCTAGGGAGATTAAAGGGTCATGGCAATTAGAAATAACGTTCAAAGTGGAAGTAGGGGGTAGAAGCCATGATAAGAATGGAAGTTGTCTTGCTGAAAAAACTGAAACTATAAGATCACGTTATTTTAATTTACTAAATAGTAACCATAAGGTAGTTTATTTTAACAAAATTTACGTTCAATTCATTAATTGAAGTCTGTAAGGTAAGAAAAATAATAATCTCTCAGAACATCGTGCTTCTGAAAACAACACTCGTTCCGCTCAATCATCGGCAGTTTTACTGCCTAGTTGGAGACGGTACACACGTCAATGCTCCAACGATCCCTACAACGCTGGACAGCAAGCAATATCGCCCCTTTGAAATTCAAAGCTATTCAAACAAGGCATTTCAAAAGGGCAGATGAGCAGAGAATATTTGACGTAGTTTGCACAATCAATTGCATATTGCCTACTTAGTAGAATAGAAGAGAAATTGTCCTTGAGTTACTGTTTACAAGAAGCTTTCACGCTTAAAAACAAAGAAAAAAATAAGAAGTACTAAGAAATGGAACGCACTAAGTCCAGTTGAATAATAATAAAAGCGAACAAACTCCATATATCGAATTCTCCTCTCCTACCCATTGATAACTTGATTGTCCAATTAGTGCATAATACATTTATGCTATAAACAGACGGATTACATTTTAACTTTACTAAAAGGATTTGGAACTTGACTATCTAGAAACGTGTCAGTTCATACCAGCTGAACTATATTAATAATTCATAAATTGATCAATAGGCACCGGAACTCAAATGAGGAAACATCTTGCCCCATTTCTCAGTGGTGCAGGCGTTTCACCATGATGAAAAACTATAACACGCATTTGCCTAACATTGGGTGGCGAATAAGAACTAAATTATTAAGTAATCATATAGTAAGGACAATTGTCGATACGTACCCTCACGCGAGCATGCTCAGTAAGCCGCATTAATAGAAGCAAACCACGAAGATGCAATTCAGCCTCAGCAGCAAGTGAAAGTGGATTCGTCGAAGCGCCAGCACCAGCTTTATTCCTATCTAGCGGCTCACCAAGTCGGCAGCCTTCTTCAAGAAGACGCATAGTCAACATGAGTGGAGAATCATTGAAATCCGCCTGACGACAAATCCCATCCACTCCATTTGCATTGCATGCGCAAGTAGGTGGTTCCAAGCCAAGAAGTAGGCCAGGGCCAGCCGCAAGTACTGCGTGAATGAATATGTTCAATTCTGTGGATTTTGCATGCCAACCCCGACCCTTCACTTTTCGACTGGTATCCAAACGTCTGAGGAGCTAAATTTGTGTTAGTAATCTTACAAGATAGTACTCACCTTGGGTAACTGATAACCGTACAAACGCTCAAGAATCTGACCTGCTTTTTTAGCTTCTATAATAAGCTCTTCTTCTGGCATTTCAACACCTGAACAGGATTTCACTTCCAATGCGCTGTCTTTGAGTAGGGCATATTGTAGTTGAGACAATTGACATAGCAATCGCCCAACTTGGTCGTTAAATTCTACAACAGAGTCCAATCGTTCAAGTTCTTCATTCCAACCAGAGCTAATGGCCATTAAAAGAAAGAACGTATCCTCTAGCAACTGAGAGGAAAAGAATTAGCAAAATAATCATATCTTACCTTTTCGGCGATTTGTTTCAAGACATCTTCACCGGAATCTCCACGAGGAACGCAATTATTCATCACTTTATCCATAATTTCTTTCAGAAGGGCAATTAAAACATTGGCGCACTCAAGAAGACCCGCTCTTGAAGTGAAAGCTGCACAAGAAATCTGCTCGTCTGATGTCAAGTAGGCAGTGATACGAAGTAAGGGACATAAGTTTGCTTCACCATCTGAACAAGTGATGAGACAATCTAATGAAGACCCAGCTAGCAGGTTCGCCAAAATGAAGTAATTAGCTGCTAGACTAGCCGGAGATGTAGACTCTAAGCACCGACGAGAGTTCTCGTTAAGCAGTTTCCACCATACATGAGGCTTTACAAAACAGGAGACATATCTAGCTGCTGCAAAGAGTTGAAGGAGCACATTGAAAGATTCTGCAGCCCCTCCACTAAGAGCTTCAGCATGTGTGCCATAACTGCGAGTCTTCTTTTGACAAGAAAGACTAGAGAGCGAAGGTAAGCCACGTTGAGGACTCAGGAGAATAAGGTGAAGAGAAGAATTGAGAGAAACGCAAAGAATTATCTCAGCTACTCCATTACAAAGACCAGTGATGAGGGTTTGAGTGTGTTGAGTGACAGCAGACTCCAAGTGCAACAAAATGATGGGCAAAAGACCGGCGGCTTTATTGCGCGTAGCTTCTTGCCAGTCTCGTAAGTCATTGCAAAGGCCAGGCAAAAGGCGTGAGGCTGATCGATTTATGAGCTGACGACAACCTATTAAATAGAGATTCATTATTAATATGCGGGTAGAAATGTAAGAACAAAGTAACCCAAACGAAAACTTTTAGGGCCTACTAAAAAGTCACAACAACTGCTGGAACGAAGTTTTATTAACGACTTTGTATGCCTCTTTTTAAGCCAAGAAGATCAATAGAACCGAGAACTCAAAGAATATTCAAACTACAAATAAATCGATACGTTCTAAATTTGCCAACAGTTTTGACTATTTAAGAAGGCATTTTTCCTGAATGCATGCTCCGTTGAGAAGCAATATTGAACCATAACAATGCTAGAGTTAGCAAGTGCGGTCAAAGTCAATACGTCTTACCATACAGGCAAGCATGTTAAGCATCATGCCACTAACACATTCCTTCCACAATTAAGAGTAATATAAAAGAAAACCACGTGGCTCGAATTCCATTTCGAAAAGTTAAGGCTAACTTTAACCGAAAAAGTTAGCAGAAACCCACTTAAAATTAACATTAAATAGTGCCAATGCTGCATTGCTAAAAGGAACTCTATGACAGCTATAATTTATATACACTACAAAAAGCAACAATATGGTCAACTTCTTACCCAAATTTGGTCGAAGCTGATCAGCTGGATAATGCGATGGTGGTCCCGGATCAAAATCAATTTTATCTTTAAGATCATTTTCGTTTTCTTTTTGAAATTTCAACCCAATATCATGCCAGATAGCCATAGCTTCTTCCCGAATCTCATTGCATTCATCTATCAGGCCGCTCAAGATTAGGGGAATCAATTTAGTGTGATAGGAATAACGATCAGGGAGATTAAGAAGCCATTCTCCAGTAACTTGGACAACAGCTTTTCGTACCGATATAGAGGGATCAAAAAGGCGTTGAGTCAGCGGTGTAATAGTAATATCAACAAATTTGCCATTACAATGCATAAAAACTACTCCAATGGCTTCCACCGTTGCAAAACGTACTTTATGCTGCTGATGAACAATATTTCGTAAAAGAGTATTGAGCAAGGACTCAGCACTGTGGTAGAATAATGAGGGAAACTTTTTTGATAATATACAAAGAATATGGCAACAGGTAATTTTAACTTCATGAAAGGAATCTTCAAGTGATTTCTGAAGAATAATGCAATAGTCATCAAAACAGGAAGAAGCATTTTGAATTTTCTCTAATATAGATTGGAGAAGTTTGAGAGAATTTAAACGAATTTCCTCAGATTCTTCGTAGGAGCCTTCTGTTGTAAATCGTTTAACAAGTGTTTGAGTTACATGAGGAATAAAGCAACTCGACTCTTCAACTTGATTACACAATGTAGAGAGAATACACAGGACTCTATCGCGATGGCTTTCGACAGGGTCTGAAAGTAACAATACAAGACGAGGAATAATCCAAGAACAATACTCATTAATGTCGTTAACACCAGCATGTGAAAGATTATCGCAAACATCTTGTTCGATTGCAGATAAGGATTCTTTTCTTTTAATTTTGCTATCACTCTTAAGCAGATTAATTGCACGCGAAGATGCAGATAAAGTAAAACCCATAATTGCGTCAATTACAGATTAGCGACAACCTTGACTCAAGGACGTGTACAATTCTAGTAACGCGGGTGTATATTATATACCTATTGGTTACAGATTAAAGGAAGCTGGAAAGCATAAACAATAAATAGTCTGTAACAGTATATATATATTAAGAAATCTTTTAATATGACTAGCAATCGGAAATAGAAATCTATATGCAAATGCAAATAATTCGTCAGCACAATTTATTCAATGCCTTAAAATATTTAAATATATATTTATATTGATATATTATAAATCACGATGTTGGTCTTTTTATTAAGTAAAAAGTTTTATGGTGAATAAATGCTTATTCCACAGAGGTGTAACCACTTGTTCAGTACATTTTTCAAATCAATAGTTACAGTGGATTTGAAATATAACCAAATGTGCACACATGTTACTTGACATCAATCAGTTATTTTTAAGAAACCATGAATTGCTGCTTAGTACCGACCATATTTTAAAATATTTTGAAAAAAGTGCGATGCTGAAAAACAAATGAAAAGAGGACTATTTGGTGTCTCTCATGGTACAAAATAAATGTTATATTTATTCCACCCTAATGCTAATAAATGGGAAAAGGCTCGTACCATCCCCTCAATGAGAGTGAGTAACGTTGGTTATGAGGGTTGAATTGACGCACAAAACAGTATGGAACTAAGACCTAGCTCCTCAAATGTTTCGCATCCACAAATTAGATTATAACATTATGATATAAGACAGATCTGCGAAAGTCTGCCACATATGTATGAGGTAAAAAAGTGATTCTTTATATTTTAGCATCCAAACCTTAGCAAGCGGTTTTTGAAACTTGCTTTCATGATTCTGCTTTCCTTTGTCGCGAGCGAAATAAGAAAAACCAATTCAGTATGGAGAAAAGAAAAAGACCTGCGTGTTCGCATGCAGGAATTAACGATAATATGAATATATATATATAGTTTGAGTAAAAACTAACGACCGCCTGAAATGTATCCTTTCATTCATTGTTGAAAAGATTTTTCTAAGAAAAGAGAACAAAAGTAAAGCACCAGACGCAAAAACGAAATAGAGAGAAAAGGGGAGGGAAAGAGAAAATTGTTCTCGCGAAGAAACTACCAGTGAAGACCGGACAGTGAGACTGACTGTCTGTCTAGCCAATACTGAGCAGAGCCCTCGTTCATCGTTAGTTTTCTACCAGACATCGCCGGTCTCTTCGTATATGCCACGTATTTACATGAGGATCACTTGGTGGTGAGCAGGCGCTCCAGTCACGGAAATTCGCACATGTCAGGTGTGCCCACATTTGCATCGTCGTCGCTAACTTCGTCTCCATACACTTCCCATTCTTCGTTCAACTTACCCACCATCCAATTGTAGCTACAATGCCTCCTTTGAGGCTATTCCAAGTCGTTGTGTTCTTTATCGGGGCCATCTCGGGTAGATCCTGCCCTCGCACTGCATTCCACTTTGACATTAAGAAAGACAATGTGATATGAGACGTTTCAACAATCAATGACTTTTACTAGACTCCAAACAGCAATCGGAAAATGGCACTAGGTGGGCGTATTGATGGTTTCGCCGAGGAAAAGCTGCCCCAAACAGTAGTACAAGAGCACTGTGCGTTCTTCATCGCAAGCATTCGCCTACAGTTGGCAGCCATAAGCTTCGTCTGTTTCCTCGGATTTCCAGTAAGATGGCGATTTGCGCCATTACACACGAGTGCTGCTGTTGGCTGGCGTCTAATTATCATTATTCTTATTGCTATTCCTACTAGTATTACTATTACTATTACCATTATTATTATTATTATTATTATTATTATTATTACTATTGAGTCAAGGGTACATGGAAAGAAAGGAGTGAAGTTAAAGGCAGATGTAGAGGACTTCGACCACAAAATTGTTCAGTCATGAAAAGATACTCTGCGAAGCAAACTCAAATTACGATTTCCAACTGAGCGCGCATAGAACTCCCCCCACGTGTTCAATTCCATTTCAGCCTCTGCGATCTCAAGGTGGTATTTCACCAGAGAGATCCTTACTTGTCATTGTTGTAATGAAATCGGTGAGTAGAATGTAACGGCCTAGACCTGATAGTGACAAAGAAGGAGAGAGAGAGCTTTGACAGGCTCATCACAATGAAGTTGCTGAATTTGACCCTCCAGTTTGACGCATTTTATCAACGAAGTCATACACTGGCTAAACTCCACTTGTTGTTCAGATTCAACCACTTCACCGGACTCATCAGACTGGATTATTCTGCTAAAACACACTACTTCGGTGATGAAATGCATATTCTCAAAGCACACTGTCCTCAACACTCCGATTGTGTGAGTACGGTGGCTTGAGTACTTACAAAGATTGAGTGTAGTTGCTACATTAGAAGTGAACTTCAATGCTTCTTCTCTAGAAGTGGCTATCAAGCCCGTGCCAATGAACCCACTTGATGCATTCTAGTTGTATTCGACTGAGGGACAGCAGTCTCAGGAAGGCTTGCAAGTTTCTAATCTCACCGTGAAGGTAGTTGGGTGTGGGAGAGGAAGGGAGGGAGGGAGGGAGGGAGGGGAGGGGGGATACTAATGCATATTATTTAAAATTGGCGTCCATTCCACTAGTGACCCTAGAATGTCCTTTCCAACGGGTTTCACTCATTTTACACAGTTGGCTTTTTGACAACACATTCGAGTGAGCTAACTAACACGTCTTCTTCCCAACTGGCATGTCCACACTTGCGCATTGTTGATTGCATTGACTAACACTCTTCCCAGAGCCACCAATTTCACAGCTCCATCGCTCTCAAATTGAGGACGTTAATCTGCAAACTATTAACTAGCACTCTACGTGGACTGGAGTCCGGCTAAGGTCTGGTGCAATGTGAATCATAATAAACTGCAAACAATGAGGTGACTTGTCTATTAAAGGAGCCACCGCTAGTCAACGAGGTTAGCTAACAAGCCATCTAATTACTACCATGCCAATTAGTAAAACCCTTGATCAAGAGATATTTCATTTACTAGTTGCAATCGCTCTAACGTATTGCACGAGGCGCGAATCCTACAATTATACGCCAATGCCAAATTTACCAATGTCAAAGCAATAACTGTATTGTCAAATGTTGCATTTCACGTCATTATTTTAATGTTAATAACCTACTCAGATGCCATCTCTCCTTTCAAAAACTCATTCTTTGCACTCTCAGTGCTTACAATTAGCCGATGAGATAAGCCGAAATTTAAATTAGCTGTTAAATGTATATAAATTGGAGAGAGGTAGGAGTGATCGTCCAATGGTTTCTCACCAGCTATTTTGTGTGCTGTGCCTCTCACAAATTGCATACCCTCGGTTCAAATGCGTTTCTCCGCATATGAGTAAAGTCGCCCAAAGAGTGGTGCTAACAAAGAGATGGTTTGGGTCGGCATGTAAGCATTTCACATTTGCCAATTTTGGGCAAATTGATAGTAGTTTGTAGGCTTGTTTGCGATAACTCCACTGTCTGTTCACTTCACGGTTTCGCCTTACAGCCTCCCTCCCGATGTCCTCTTACACTCCTGTTTGACCCAGAACAGGAAAGTCAATATTCAATCTTCATGTCCACAAAAGTGCACATTAGGCTCCTGTGTGTTTGGGCACAGCACCACTGTGACTGCTTTGAAGGCCCATACTTATTATTGGATGAGAGGTGGCATGAGTGGGTCTAAGGGCGCCTTCTTACTTGCATTGATTCCGAATGAATTCTCCATCCCCTAACCTACAACGAGAAAGTCCGTAGATGAGCACCAAATGCCCTCTTATCAAACTCTCGAAATCTCCACACACCGACACAATTTTATGAGTGGAAAAGATTGGAATTGTCCAAGTGTTTCTCTGACTGAAACACTGAAACCCATTCGGGTTGACAGAGAAGATGTAGTGGTGGGTGTGAACACCAGGCGTAGTTATGGGGAGAGGTAGAGGGAGGTGAAGTGGCATTATGTTGGAGCTACTTGGTGAGAAACCCATCTGCTGCATTTAGCCAGTGTCTTTGGTCATTTCGAAACACTAACCTCTGACTTTGCAACTAAGTTGCTTTCAAATGAGATCAGTGGAGTTGATTCCTGATGCCCTGGTTCCTTCATGGATTTAGTTACGTTTGGGTTATTTTTCCACGAAACTTTGTAACTTGAGATATTCAACTTCCACATTTCGCAATCATCTTATTCTTCTTCTTCACACTTCACCCATGTAATGGAACAAATGTGAATGACTGGATGGTTTGTGGCACCAATACTTCTACTCGTGCAAAGTCAGTTGCACACCGGTTGATTAGTAGTGAAGAAACAAGGTATGGCATTATTGCATCTGTCTACTTCGCAGTTTCTCCAATAACCTCTACTACCATTTCCATTGAGTTGTCTTTAGTTGTCTTGGATGGTGTACTTCATTTCTTTGCCTTTCAATGTGTGTTTAGTATTTCTGAGTTGCATGGACTTAATGAAACAGATAGTACCTTACCATGCGAAAAGCTAAAATAGTCCCGTCTCAGCAGAAATCGAGATGAAGTCAGGTAGGAGTAGGCAATGTTGTGGGCATGTTAAAAATCTTGAATCTGTTGAATTCTGGCAGCGTGAAGTTATTCACCTTCTCATAGAGGCGGGGTGTTGGAGGGGGGGGGGGGGGGGGGGGGGGGGGGGGGGGGGGGGGGGGGGGGGGGGGNTCATTGTTTCATAGTCCAGTTTTCTAAATTTGATCACCCACTTTCAAATGAGTTAGGTCTATGACACTCCACCGACTCGTTTTTACCTGAATATCGCCATAGAATGACAAAGGCGCTTAAACAGACCCGAGCTCATGCGCTGTCAGTTCATGGTGTTGGTGGTGCTGATGATAGTGGAAGTAATATTATTATTTTTATTTTTATTATTACCACCCCTACTACTGGTATTGAAAAGAAAATGCTTTTAAGGATATTTGATTCTCAGCCACTTGTAGACAAAAGGAGTCACATTTATTGCCTTCGTTAAT